GATCCAGGGGCAGTGGCAATGGCGGCAGTAGAAGTCGAAGTAGAAGTAGGAAGTAGAAGTATAAGTAGAAGTAGGATTAGAACTAAAAATAGAAGTAGAACTAAAACTACCACATACTACTAAAGCTGCCACTACTACGTACTACTACTACTACTACGTACTACTACGTACTACTACGTACTACTATACGTACTACTACGTACTACTATACGTACTACTACGTACTACTACGTACTGCTACGTACTGCTACGTACTGCTACGTACTGCTACGTACTGCTACGTACTGCTACGTACTGCTACGTACTGCTACGTACTGCTACGTACTGCTACTGCTACTGCTACTGCTACTCCTACTCCTACTCCTACTCCTACTCCTACTCCTACTCCTACTCCTACTCCTACTCCTACTCCTAGTCCTACTACTGCTGCTGCTGTCACTGCTACTGCTGCTGCAACTGCTACTGCTACTGCTACTGCTACTGCTACTGCTACTGCTACTGCTACTGCTACTGCACCTGCACCTGCACCTGCACCTGCACCTGCACCTGCACCTGCACCTGCACCTGCACCTGCACCTGCACCTGCACCTGCACCTGCACCTGCTGCTGCTGCTGCTGCTGCCGCTGCTGCTGCTGCTGCTGATACTACTACTACTACTGCTGCTGCTGCTGCTGCTGCTGCCGCTGCCGCCGCTGCTGCTACGACTACTACTACCTCTACTACTACTGCTACTACTACTACTACTACTACTACTACTGCTACTACTACTACTACTACTACTACCAGTACTACTACTACTACTACTACTACTACTACTACTACTACTACTACTACTACTACTACTACTACTACTGCTACTACTACTACTGCTACTACTGCTACTGCTACTGCTACTGCTACTACTACTGCTACTGCTGCTGCTACTGCTGCAACTGCTACTGCTACTACTACTACTACTTCTTCTACTGCTACTACTACTACTACTACTACTACTACTACTGCTACTGCTACTGCTACTACTACTACTACTACTACTACTACTACTACTACTACTACTAAGGTTCTTGGCTCTCAGCAGAGATGACTTGTGTGACGAAACCTGATCCTCCGCATTGCAACGGTCACCTCACTAGTAGGTATGCGGGACCCCAACCAAACACGGCTGTAGGCCGCAGGATGGTGCACCTGTTAACAGTGGCGCTCCAGCTCACCATTGCTCAAAGCCTTGCCCTCGTGGACGTCCTGGAGCCCCGTACCGGGCCGAAGCCTTGGATTCCTTCCACTGCAAACTGTCCAATCGAGCTGAGCCCACCTAGCGTGTGTGCCCCACCATGGCAGTTTCATGTGACAAGTTCCTCAAGGCCAAGCGTAGACCTGCCGTGCAGCTGTGCCCCCACTCTCTTGACCAGAGCATGGCACCTCGAAAGCGCGGCTCGGTCGGCGAGGTGGAATCAAGCAGGGCAAAGGACAAGGCCAAACCAGCAGCCTATCCGACGACGGCCACCGCTGACTCCATCGACGATATCTTCAACACAACAGACGAGGAGGTGCCCGGAGGATCGTCAACCACTGCTATGCCTAAGGCCGGGCCCACAGGCCCTCCTGCAGGACTTCCGACACCGACTCCTGTATACATCAGTCGTGGCCTGGCAGGACCCTCGCCGCCTACTCCAGCAGCTGCTTTTGCGGCCTCCGTTCCTCATAACCTCAACTTTACAGTCGAGGCTATCGTCCGCACAAATCCACGTGAGCGGTAAGTGCACCTGTGGCTTTTTTGCGGAGTTGCAGTGCGACTGTGTCCATGTCCCCTCGTGCCCGACGCCTACCCCCCAGAGGTTTAGGCCCTTTCCACCCCGCCCTAGGTCGAATGGCTGATCACACGTCCGCCTCTTCGTGGTCGGCCGGCTCGCTCCAACACCCTAAGCTAAACCCCTGCCAGGGCACTCTCCGAGCACTGCATCCCTCTAGCCTTCTCTACAGGCCGTACCCTCGCCAACACCTGAGGCATTCATGTAATGGTGTGTACCTCACCCCAGGCCCTACTTTACCCGTCCCAGTGACGAACATGTGGTCCGGCCCCTGGTCTGCGCGTCAATCCGACCTGACGACTTTCCACGCTGGCGCACTGCTTTTGCATCATGGCCATTGGGCAACATCCAGGCCCAAGAAGATTTTGCCTGTGATCCAGACCACCCTGCCACCAACGGTTCACCCTTCATCATATACCCGCAGTCTCCCTCCCCTAGGTTGCACCACCCAGGCGATGCGGATTGAGTTTTCCAAACCTAGGCTGGGATCGGCTAGTGTGGGATGGGACGCCCGCCAGGGCCGATGGAGGTATACAAACCTGGCCAGAAAGAACGGAGAGCCGCCCGTGAAGAGCGAGAGCGCAGAGACCAGGAGGAGGAGGCTTGGCAGACGGTCCAACGACTGGCTGATGACGACGGTGAGGAACCGGAAGCTGCCAGCGGCTCCAGACCTTGCACAGCTCCCCCTGACGCTTCCGAGCAGCGGCGTGGAGCGACAGAGATCAACTTCCTTGTCGGGCCACACACGGAGCACCAGCGTGGCCCAAGGGACCCAAGGAACTCTATGGCTTGGATGCCTCGATCGCGGTCTCCTCAACTACAGCCAAGGCCTAAGCAGAAGCTGCGTACAGCTCCTGTGGCGATGACCGTCCGAAATCGCCGTGTATGCCGCCCAAGCCTAAGAAAAGGCCCAGCCAACCAACCGGTCGAGGAGGATGATGAGTTGGTCACCGTTCTGGTGGAAGACGAGGACTACAATGGACCTCCATTCGGTGTCGCGGGACCACTGCCGACCAGACAATCCAGAGGGTCCGCCTCCGACTGCGACTGGACTCATTGCAGAGCTGTCGCATTCCCGACAGGACGGTGGCCGTGTGAGCCGGCTTGCTCAGCCCTCCGGAGACAGGCTGAAGTTTGGCAGGCTCGAGGCTCCCGCTTGTTGTGGGCAAGCGCTCGAAGTTTCGTGCGAAATATTAGCCAGGCTTCGTGATGTCCAGACAGGGTGACGGATAGGTATCCGCACATGGCGTGCTGGACGCTACAGCTGGGGCCGTGGTCGTGCAGCTGGCGGCTCCTTTATCAGGATATTAATCGTATCCTTCTGTATGCCATGGAAGGGACAGCCCAACCGCTGGCGAGACTGGAGCGCCTCTTTATGGCGTACAGGCTTGTGCTTCCGCGAAATCGCTGGCACCATGTGATAGAGGTGTGCAATATGGTCTCTCGTCAGATCCGCACCGCACCTGGCAGGAAAACCGACTGCGTGTGTCCGATCGCACTACACGTCCTCTAATGTTCAAGTCCCGCCGTGTGCACTGCACTCGCCCCACTCAGGTTTAGCAGACCAATTCACAACAGCGAATCAGCTACCTGCGGCGTTCTCGCATCTACCTCTCCCACAAGCAGGCTCTGCTGCTCTCTCCGCCGGAACCCATCCCCAGAGTCCCCTCCCCATGCATACCCGTAGGCCTGCATGCGCCATTGGCAAGAGGCGACCGCTTGATGTGCCTGACCCCCTCCTCAGCCATTTCTTTGGGACTCCCAGACGGACCCCTCCCCGGGACTGCTTCGTTTGCCGGCGGGTCCAAGCTCACAAGCCACCGCGCCGCTTTAAGTGCTCCGCGTATTATGGCCAGTCCATGCCTACAGCCTGGAACTCAGCGCAGCTCTCGCGGCGGAGGCCCTTGCATGCACTTCCCCAGGACCCAACCTGGACGCCCTGTACAGCCCTATAACTGTACTGCCCCGACTGATCCTGGCTGCCCTAACCTCGAGCAGATGGACTGACCACGGCCGGCCGGCCATTAGGCATGGGCGCTTTATCCTGCATTCCCTCTTGTTGGCAAGGCTACTGTCAAGAACCGCGGTCGGCCCGTAAGAACCAGGGCCTACGTCACCCGACTCCCGTGTAGGAATACCAACCATCGAGGTCGACATAGGTCCCGGGAACATGGTCTTGCTGTACCCGACTGCCTTACTCACTGGTGGGCCCAACATAGGCTGCGCAATTTGTGCAATTGGCAGAGAGCGACAGAACCGTCAGCCCTGCTGCCTCACATGAGGCCGATACTCGGCTTCGTCACATCAATTTTGAGCCACCTGGGTCTTAATGGTCCCAAGTCCCAGGTATATCCTCCGGCAGCTGAACATATTGCATCTAGCTACACTTTTTCTTTCGGTATACTTGGCGAGATAGAACCGAGGGTTGGGAGTTTCTGCCGCCGACTCCTGAGACTGGTCCCTTCGGGGACCAGGAAGGCTAGGCGTGAGAAGCAACACCTTCTGTACTCTTCTTCGTTTGAGTTGGCTGACATCCGTGTCCCAGCTCTGCGTCATCACGTTTACAGCGTCACTCCACATTCTTTGCTGCAGCAGCCCTTCTCAAGCACTACCAAGACGCGCCCTGTCTGTCCATGTACATCCTGCACTCCGAACCGGTCTACACTTCATATTGCAGGCCCACTCGCTAGGGCTGGGAAGTCTCCCGACAGGTGCGACGGCTTGCACTGCACTGCCGCCTGGCCTCCAGGCCCAGGCCCGGCCGCTTGCCCCCACTTCACGCGGCCAAAGTGAAGGTGGCAGCACGCCTGACCGCGCTGTGGCGCGGGCGGGCACCACCCCCGAACGGCCCTCATGTCCCCTTTCTCAGTGTTAACTGTGGTGGGCTGACAAGTGAGGTGTATCAGGAACTCCGCCTATCCACCGGAGCGCCAACCCCATGTCGTTGCTGTTCAGGAGACTCACTGGGCAGAAGACAGCAATACCGATTACACCACAGGCCTCTGGCGGGCGGGTCATCAGCCCCCACCGCAATGGCTACAAGGCGGCCGGCGTCTTGATACTCCTACACAAAACGTTCTCCGCCGACTGCGTCATTTCTTCCGCCGAACCCTACCCAGGACGCCTGCTGCACGTGCGCCTGACCCATCAGGCCTGCGGGCACTCGACACCCTGGTTGTGTACCAAGTCCCATGAACTGGCAACAGCCCTCTGGGAAGGCCGGAGATGGTCCTGCCCAGCCGGATGCCCCAAAACAGACTGCTGCTCACGTTTGGGATAAGTTGGAACATACCATTCATAACATCCCGGTGAGGCACACACTGCCAATCCTGGGTGACTTCAACACCCCTTTGGCCGCGCACCCCCGGGCTGGCCGAGTGGTCACGAAGTGGAATGGCCGACTTCCTGCAGACGCATCCCGACTTACCAAGTTGCTCGATGATCATGAACTTACACACCTCAACTCGTGGACCCGCCGAGCAGGTCCGACCTACGTCTGTGGCGAGCAGAGGAGTCTGATCGATCACGTGCTCACGCGCCACACCCAGGCACATTCCTGGCGCGTGGTACTGGGCGTGACTCCCTTGTTCTGGCCGCCTGGCGTGCAGGCGGGAGACACGTCCCGCCCAGTGGTGTCCTACCCTTAATCCGTTTTGCCTCTCTCAACTCTCAACCGAGTCTCCCAGACACGCCGCAACATGTGGGACAAGGACCGCCTGTTGCAACTTCTAGCCGATCCGCACTGCCTCCAGGCCCTTCAACTCCGACAGTCTCCTCCAGGGCCTTGCTGCACGCCACACTATGCAGGACCTCAGTGACTGCATCACTCGTGTCTTGCGGCTGCACCTCCCCTGGATCCCACAGCGCCAGGTTGGCGCCTTGGCAAACCCCGGCCATGAGTGTGCCTGTGGCGTCAGCTGTATCTGGAATAAGGCGTGGTTCCACTTCACGAAGTTTCAGAAAGCTCACCGAGACTTCCACCGGGCAGGCCGTCTGGCTAAGCACGCCTGGTATTCCGACAGGCTCCACGAGCTGGGCACACACGCCAGACGCCATAACATTCGTGCTCTCTATCAAGGTGTTCAGCGCTTGGCCCCCAAGAAACGTCACGCCCAGGTACAGCTTCGTGCCCCTGAGCCTGATCTCCCCCAGGCAGGCCAAACTTCTGTCTGATCATCTTCGGAACAGCTTCACTGGCCGAAATCTGCCAGCCAGGCAGGCCTGAGTCTATGCCGTCCCTGCAGATGGACTCGACCGAGCTCTCCAGTGCACTAGCCAGCCTCTCTGTTCACAAAGCTGTTCCTGAGCATCTCGCGCCGATCGCCGCTTGGCGACTCTGCTCCGCTGAGGTTATGCCTATAGGCTAGCCGAGATTGCAAACACACTCACGGCCGCCGACGAGCTGTGGCATGCCGCTTGGCTTGCGCTCATACCAAAGATAGCACGACCGACACTTCCCAAACATGTGAGGCCAATCGGGGTTACGGAGGTATCAGGCAGAATCGTATCGAAAATCCTACAATCCAGACTTCGGCCATACGTCCTCACCTACTTGCAAGACTTGCCAGTCTGTGGGCGTATGTCCCTGGCAGGGGGGCCTTGGACGCCGCACTTCGAGAGCAGGCACACTGCCAAGCCGTGATAGGTTCTTGCTCGTCTAGAGAGGACCACTCGTGAAGCCAGGGCTGGTATTCCCAAGCCGCAGACTTCAGCCGGAGGCCTCCAATTATCAATCGACCTCAGCTCAGGCCTTCGATCACATGGAATGGGCACACATAGCGGTTGCCCTCGAGGACGCACTTAGACTTAAATTGTCCGACCCGAGCTCCAAGCTCAGGTCCTGGAATGGTACCGCGACATCAACTACGTGCTCTCCGTGCAAGGCCAGACTATGGAAATCCAGGCCAGCCGCGGCCTGAAGCAAGGATGCCTCATAGCGCCACTTATTTGCGCACACTTTTGATAGGTTCAAGCATAGCATTGACGGCATGCCCACATGCAGCCTCTGTAAGTATCCATTCAGGAAGTGGGGCAACCTCCGCAATCACATCGCCAAGGGCCAGTGCCCCTTCCTGTGTTCCAAGGACACACTGTGTGCTGCTCCGTCACCCCAGACTGCGCACATAGCCGTTGCAGACCCGCCCTTCACCGCAGGTCCGGATCGCGGATCGTCTATCCAAGGCGACACATCACTTTCCCAAGAGCCGGTCACTCTTGCCTCCAATACTTAGGCCACATCTGCTTGCGCTCCTACGTGCGCAACACCGGCATGCCTTGCTTACCCTGCCCGAAGTGCAGCAGGAGGTTGAGCACCATTGCCCCAAAGGTCGACAATGGTGCGTCGATACCACAGCAGTAAAGCGACACATGACCGTATAGCTAAAATTGGACGGATACATCGAAAAGAATCAGATGCAACTCGATGATCTCAGCACTTTTCAACCAAGGGCATTTGCGCGAGAGCAACAGCGATCACTTTGCGCAGATTGGTGCATCATGATTTTTTTTGGCGTGGGCGGGCCTCGTCGACTACGGCTGTAGCACTCGGTCCCTACAAACAAGACAAACCAACAAACAAACAAAAACAGCGGTGAAACAGGGCGGCTCGATAAAAAGAGGCAAAGAGCTAGCTGCGGCGCACAGGCTTTGCCGGTGTTGGCCGTTCAGCACGAGTTATACAGCATCCGCAATGGGCTGAGAATTTCTCACGGATTACCGAACTACTTAAGCCCTTTCGACGGACCATGGTGTTTCCCTGTAGGTACTGTAAGCAACATAATGTGAATCGCCACACTCATCGGCGCTCCTGCATAGTTCTCCAGGTAAGCTGCTTTTTGCAGCTGACTCTTGACGGTTGCCATGGAAGAAGCTCTGGAAATGACACCGCAGGAGCGTCTGTTGTTCTTCGGAGGCGTCTGCCCCTCACTCCAGCCCAAGCGCGAGAGGGGAGAGACACCGGCGGATCAGAGACCTCGCAAGGAAGACACCCAGCAGACGCCGGGCTCCGGTTCCAATCACTTCGAGGCGAGTCGGGCACCGCAGACTGCATGGATCCAGCTGGCCATCGAGATCAGCACTCGGGGCACCAGGAGCCGGGTATGGGAAATCCTTCATTCCTCGATCGGCTGCGCAGCGCCGCATACCATGTGCTATCCCAGCAAGCCAAGGCCGTTCGCGGCTGGAGAGGCGTGGCCCCAGCGTCAGCCACGACCACTAAGCCCCTTAAGCCCGACCTGCCATCGCCACCCTTTTGCTTGTCGCAATGGACTGTGCGCGACGGAGTGGGGGCCTGTCTCAGGTCCTGCAATGTCTTCTCTTTCTGGCGCGGTGACACCAGGTTTTCGAAGCCATACACGGTTTGCTGACTGCGAGAACGGGGCACATTCTCACATAGGCCGATCCTCCGTGCTGCACCCCATACCTTGTATGCATACGCATATGACTTCAGGCATCTGATGACTCTCGTACATCAGATGCGTCTCCTGCCTGGCTCACGAGCGTTGGGGAGGCTCGCTCTCTGTGTGTTGCACCGACCGGTCGCACACCATACACAACTGCCTGTGTGAGGTCCGCTCGATGATTCTGTGTCTGACTTCGGGCACCAGCTGCACTTACGAAGCGTTCCAGCAGGTGCTGCGGCTTAAGGGCACAGCACAGAGCTCCCTGAGAGCTCCGGCAAGAGTCCGTGCTTCTCGCTAGGTGGTTACTTCCGCTGCGTGGGGAATGACTAGTACTACTACTACTACTACTACTACTACTACTACTACTACTACTACTACTACTACTACTACTACTACTACTGCTACTACTACTACTACTACTACTACTACTACTACTACTACTACTACTACTACTACTACTACGAGTACCAGGACCAGTACCAGCACCAGCACCAGTACCAGCACCAGTACCAGTACAAGGACAAGTACTAGTACCAGCGCCGGTACCGGTACCGGTACTGGTGCTGGTACTGATACTGGTACTTGTGCTAGTACCAGTAGCAGTAGCAGTGGCAACGGCAGTGGTAGTGGCAGTGGTAGTGGAAGGGGTAAGGCTACGGGTAGGGCGGTTGTGGTAGCGGTAGTGGCAATCGTAGTGGTAGCGGCAGCGGTAGTGGCAAGGTTACGGGTAGGGGTAGCGGCAACGATAGTGGTAGCGGTACTGGTGGGGGTTGTGGCAGTGGTAACGGTAGCGGTAGCGGTAGTGGCAGTGGTCTCAGTAGTAGGAAACAGTAGGGTGGGGATAGTAAGGATGGTAGGGACAGTATGGATAGCAGGGATAGCAGGTGCGTGAGGGTTTGGTATCGACGATACGGTATATGTGCTCACCTCACTGAGCGTCTTGATGTAGTTGTGGATTGCCCCGACAAATGGATGGTAGTGTGCAACACCAGCAACCAGAGCGACCCTTGCAGGCAAACTCGGTCCGATTGTTTTCTCTCCAGAGATACACGACGAGTTGTCTGTACGGGAGACTGGCTCGAATCCTAGGCACCGAGGTCCGTTCGCAGCCCCCATGAGTTGTGCCTCCGGCACTTCTCTCGTCGAACCGGTTGGTGGAGGACGAATCAAAGAAAACGTCGTGTAGCCGGTGAGCTCGGGAATAATTTCGCTCAATACGAAATAGCAACTGTAATGCATCTGCGTGACTGACTGATCTCTGTCATAATATGTCTTCGGGTTGAACGTTTCCGTCGAGTATCCCACCTGAATTGCACCGCGAGTCAAAAGTTGACATTATCTTCCTTGCTCTGAACCTGCGAAGCAAGTAGACACCATCGGGATCCTCAGGGTCTGCTTTCACCCTGGCAAGCTTCATAATCTCCTCGCCGGTGATATCTTTGCTGATCTTGGTCTCCGGATCTGCTGCAGACTGCAGACAGCTCTCCTGGCCAATTGCCTAACACATCACACCGACGTGCTTGCGAAAACTTCTCTTGCGTTTGGAAGTACGGCATAGTAACCCACGACGAGGTAGTCGGCCATGTTTTGTACATAGCACGGACCAGGTAGTACGCCATGTCAGAGAAGGCTGGCCTTTCCGCATCAATGCAGAACCCGGGTTTCTGGTCGGGGCGGTAGGAAGGCTGCATTGCCGCTTCCCACCCTCCCTCTGAAGCTTCATGACTAGGGCCAAATGGCGTTCCTCCCCACCAGGCGGCAATTCTCCCTCCACGTATGAACGGTAGCTACAGAGGAGGGACGTTGTACGCAGCCCATGCTCGAACAATGTGATGGTCGACCACCCTGTCGCGAGTGATGTCCGGCGGCAACGGCACGACTTAGTTGGCAGTCGTTCACATATATCTGTCTAAATTGTTCATACTTTCGCAAGACAGGAATGACACCGCCAGAGAAGAAGACCTCATCGACATCAACCCCGTCGAAAGTCAAGTCAGTTGCTGCATTGCGCACGTAGGCCACGGCCCAGGAAAGGAGACTACCTCCAAAAGAGAGCAGTATCCTAACCCGACGTCGGCAACACGGTTCAGTGTGCTCCAAAAGAGACACACCTCCCCGCTCAGGCTCTTCCGCACCTTAGTTGTTCCTTCGTTTGGACCTGCATGAGGCCCGACAATCAGTACCGTGGCACCAACGACTCTCCCGTGAACAATCCTCAGGATCATGTGTGCTTCTCCCGGTCTTGGCGTGAGAATGAACAAGGCTGCGAACATGATCGGCAAATGACATCCATGTTTCATTGGCGCAAGCAAACAGACTGCACCCGGACTTGCGTTTGGCATATTCATGACAGTTCTGTTCAAGCCACTCAACATCAGTCATGTTTGAAAACACGATCCTGTGTCCGACTAATCTACCCGTAGCATCGACATGGTTGGCAACTTTGACCCTCTTTACCTTGCTAGTCGAAATGAGCGCATGCAATTCAGGCCAAGACCAACACGAACATGAAGACGGCATGTCAAGAGACAAGTAGACGTTGGAAAACTCCGCACACTTCTTCAGTAGGCATTTGAGAGATTTCAAAACACTTCGGAAACTTCTGTACTTGCCTCGAATAGCACAGGCGCGCGCAGGTCGTTCCTGCAGGATCTCTTTACTTGTCTGACCAGTTCGTCCCCATGCGCGCAGGTACCCAAGGGTTCCCTGCAGACGATCCGAGCGCATCCTTTAGCTCCCTTGGTGTCGCCGAGACTCACAATGACCCGGCCAACCGGCCCATTCGGAATGCTCACAGCCATTGCTCGAAGCCTCCCGTTACTCGGGGCTGTGAAGTTCATTAAGTTACTTCTGGAGACCTGGCTGGTCCTCTTGCCTTTATCGGCATGGAAACACATGCACGTGATCCGAATGACACTTGTCCGATGAGCTGGGCGGCAACTTGACGTTTGCTGGGAAGACCAGCCCGATAAAGCACCTGAGGCAAGACGGGCGTCTCCGTGTAGGGAAAGCAAGGAACCTCGCCCTTAAGCGAGTAATGCTGATGGCCTTTCTCATCAGCGCTTTGGGCATGAGTAGGGCGCATCAGGCCCATGATCTCTTGGGAACCAATGTTGATCAGCGGGCCAAAGTACCGCGATTGGCCTCGTTGCACGCGAGTCAAGATCTCCAACCATGTTTGTTCGAACTGACGAAGTTTGTTGTCGCCTGGGTACAGAAGCTGGGTCAGGTAGTCAACGGATACGATCATGTCCAATCTGTCGCGTGTCCTGAAGCTCTCATACATCATGGCGATCATCTGTCGTCCTTTGATGATCTTGCCTTCATAGGATCTGACATACTGGTTCGCTTTGCGGTTCAGCTCCAGGTAGAGTTCGGCAGCTTTGTCGCTCCAGCACGAGACCGGGCGGAGAACCACCACGGTTTGTCTCTGCCGCTGGCTCGACGGATCGTCCAGACAACGTACTTCGGCTGCGAGGGCACCAGCAAGAACGAGGACACAGTGACCAAAACGCGAGGGCCAGTCAGGTGGACCTAGACCGGGCCATCGAATTTGCGCCCAACTACGGGTACAGCTACATGGCTACATGCTCCACCTTCCGGCGAAGTTCCAGGCGAAAGGAGCAGACCACAGTGAGGCGAGCTCTTGAGGGCGGTCTGTTCCCGTGTGACCGTGTGACCAGTGCTGCGGCGGTGATCACATTCTTCTGAGGCGAAATGCAGGACCCAACCATCTCATCCATTCTTCTTGTTCGGATCCGCACATGCACTAAGGACATTCGCAATGCATTGCGACATCCAATTATCCAATGAAAATCGTGAAAAAGAAG